GTTATATATATATATATATATATATATATATATATATATTCATGTGTGTGTGTGGGCGGCGCGCGCCTACGTATAAACGTGTATATAGGTCTTGTATATATATAAATATCTTCGAATTGGAAGATCGAGGTCTTGAAATAATTTATATATCAGGACCACACATGTAAATATCTCAATATGTGTTTTATTTCTTTTTAAATAGTGACCGAAATTCTTTCTCACTATGTCATTGAATTTACATACTTATATATTTATATATACAATCGAGTTTTCTTAAATATCAGATTTTTATCATCTAAGAATACTGTATTGATATTACGTACTAAACATATAGTTATATCTTTACTATACTTACCCTACCACGGAACAAAAATAAATTTATAATCTCATAATTAGTGATACTGGATACAAATTAGTTATATATATATATATGTGTGTATAATCGATAGGGAGGATTATAATTTTAAATTAGTGTGGACTAAGCGTCCTTCTCAATGCGCGAAGGGCAAATCTCTATGGAGTTTTTCGTGGGGGATCTGAGACGCGTCAAAATAATTTTGTTTATAAACAAATATGGGACCTGAGACATGCGTCAAAATAATTTTGTTTATAAACAAATATCAAATGGGCAATTAAAAAACGTACTATATATATATATATATGTGTGTGTGTGTGTGTGATGGATGACATCTATTCACAATGTTATTATAATTATCAATTATATAATTTATTGTACTATAATGAAAGAATATATTATTTAGGGTATAACCATCGTAATAAAAGAATATTTAGAACATATATAAATACTTATAAACATAGTTACGGATTATGTGTATAAACATATATAAGTATGTTACAAATTCTTTTAACTATATATACTTGAAAAGGTATATTTAATATTAGATGCAACCGTGGGATGACATATATTCTCTTTACATTGTCTATTTATTTATTAGTTTGGCCCAATTGTTTAGTGTGTTCACTAGGTTTATACAGTAACAACAACAACAATAACAATAATGGAAAATCGGATATAAATATTTAAATTTTTATAAATATTTCATATAAATATATAAATTATAAAATTTTCGTATAAATATCTAAACTTTTTGTAAAATCCTATATAAATATTTATATTTTTTTAAAAAAATTTAAAAAAATCCAAAATCCGTTAATGATATTAACTATTTTTATTTAGATATTAAAAAATATCTAAAATTTGAATTTATTTAGAATTTTTTTTTGTTTATATATGATTTTTAAAAAGTTTCAGTATTTATATAAAAATTTTATAATTAAAATATTCATAAGAGGTTTTTATAAAAATTTAGATATTTTATTTGTGATTTTAATAATAATAATAATAATAACGTGTCACTCTCAGTGAAGCTGTGAATGTGGCATGCCATGTAGAAAGGGATATATCCATCACTGCTCCTGTCACACTATACATGTTTTTTTTTTTCTCTCTACCGTACATATATGTTTCAACCGCCACACACGACACACCACACCCCCCATTTACAATATTTAATATCATAAAATTATTAATTTATTTAATTATTATGCATATGGATTCTTTATTTCAGTATTGAGAAAAAGCCTATACTATAATGTAGTGGAGCATCGTGGACTATTCTTTATTTATGTTCCAATATTCAATCGCAAAAGAATTGACAGCTCAAAAAGGTTGAATGAATGAACCAACACCATAGATTAATGAAAACTATATACTATATTGGGTATTTTATTTTTCACTTTATATATTGAGTATCTATATTTTTTTAAAATAATTTTTATTCTTTATATGGAACTATGCCATGAATTAAATAGTGCACAGAAAACAGGAAATATGTGTTATGGTTCCCATAAGATATTCAGACATTAGAAAGTAAACATTATAATTTTGATTATATATCTAATGGATCCAAAGCAGGTAATCCTAAGAAAAAAAAAATAACAGAGTCCAAATTTCTTCTATATTAAATAATAAAAAAAGTCTAGACTTTTTTCTACCCATTTAAAAGCTAAGATTTATTTTAATATAGGAGAGTTAGAAGATTAATATTTAAATTTGTCGAATTCTTTAAAATAAAATTTCATTTTTGTTTAAATTTGAACTTTGAATATATACTTAAATTAAACCTAAATTTTATAAACTATATTACATTTAATCCTATATACTGATATGATAATTCGAACGTGATAATTTTGATTTTGACAAAATATTGTCATGTCATTTACTATATGGACGAATTAAAAATTATCAAATCATTTTTTGAATTGCTATATCTGTCTATAGAATTAAATTTAATTTAGTTTACAAAGATTTAAACATTAGTTTTAAAGTTCGGATTTTAAAAAATAAAAATAAAATTGGTATTTTATTTTTAAAAATTTGACAAATTCAGATATATATATATATATATATATATATTCTAATTATTATTATTTTTTTTTATATTCACAGAAATCAGAACTTTTTCTTATAAAATAGCTTTTTTTTCTCTCACTGAGTGCTGAAGTGTCCTAAGAGAAGATGGAGATGAAGAAGGGAAGTGATGAGATCATAGAGATCTTTTACACTCTCTTATGACCAAACACTGTCACCCTTGTCAGTGGCGTCATCATCATCATCTGTCCCAACCTTTTTTTTTTTGTCTTTCCTGTATAAATATCTCACTAAATCGTATATACAGTTTGATTTTACTCCTTGCTGTAATTTTGAAAGAGGTTTTGTTTTTTTTTTTCTGGGTTTTGTCTGTATTCTTGTTTGGTTAATTGCACACCACTTCCCCTTCCCTTTCTCTCTCCTCCGTTCTGTTCTTTTCCTCATCTGTTTGGTCGGCTTCTCTGCAATTGTTTTCAGTACAGATACCAAGGAAGAAGAAATAGAGAGAAGAGGAAAGAAAATAAGAGATTCTTAGACATGGGTTAGGCTGGAAATTTCGTGATTTCATCTTCCTCTTGACCGATTTTGTCGTTGTGTCGTCTCTCTTCTTGAGCTTTTTTTTTTTGGGTCTAATAGATTCTCTTTTTTTTTTTGGTGGGTGTTCGAGTTGGCGAAGGTGTTAGGGTTAGGGTTTTTGAGTGTGGTCGGGTCGGAGCGGAGGCAGTATGTGGGAGTCGAAGCCATTGGATTGAAAAGAGTGACTCTGGATTCTCCGGCGGGCAACGACCACCGCCGCCGCCGCCGCCGGGACCATACAGATGACGACGACGACGGTGAGCCCCAATATGATCCATCAATGGTGGACGGCGACTCCTCCGCCGCCATCCTCAACAACCACCGGCCTCTACCACCGTCGACGGTCTACGGGGAGGAAGGACCGTCACAGCAAGGTTTGTACGGCCAAGGGACCACGTGACCGTCGCGTGAGGCTGTCGGCGCACACCGCGATTCAGTTCTACGATGTTCAGGACAGGCTTGGCTTCGACCGACCCAGCAAGGCCGTCGATTGGCTCATCAAGAAGGCTAAGACCTCCATTGACGAGCTCGCCGAGCTTCCGCCATGGAACCCGGCCGAGACCCTTCGCAACGCCAAGCCCAGAAGAGCCGCCAAAGCCAAAGCTTCCCCGCCTCCGCAGCCACCGCCGCCGCCTTCATTGACGCATGAGGGTCAGTTCGGTGCTCCGGTGGTAGGTTTTGCCGGAGAAGATAACGGGTTGGGATTTCTTCCGGCGTCGCTGGACTCGGATTCGATAGCCGACACTATCAAGTCGTTTTTCCCGGTGGGCGGCGGCGGCGCGTGTGCTTCGACGGAGGCTCTGAAAACTATATCTTTTTGCCAGAGCCAAGATCTTCGGCTCTCGCTTCAATCCTTCCAAGATCCTCCGCCGTTGCTCCTCCACCATAATCACCGCACCCACCAGACGGAGCCACTTCTCTTCGCCGGACAAAACCACCCACTAGGATTCGACGCATCGACTTCTCCGTGGGAGCAGTCACACCACCAACACAGCCACCACCAATCTTCGGAAATCGGAAGGTTGCAGAGACTGGTGGCTTGGAACAGCGGCGGAGTATCAGACACCGGCGGAGGAGGAGGAGGAGGAGAGTTTGTCTTTGCTTCTCCGCCGGCGACGACACCGTTTCAGCCAGTGTCAGTGTGCAGCCATAGCCAGCTGTTTTCTTCTCAGAGGGGTCCCCTTCAGTCCATTAACACGCCCATGATCCGTGCTTGGCTTGATCCTCATCATCACCACATCGATGATCTCCACTACCATATTCCTCACCAGCCGGCGATTCCTGGAATCGGATTCGGTTCCCAAACAGGTGAATTCTCCGGTTTTCGAATTCCAGCACGGATTCAGGGCCAAGAAGAGGAGCACGACAGTATCACCAACAAGCCGTCCTCTGCTTCCTCTGTTTCTCGCCATTGACAAGATCCAAAAACTTTGCAAAAAAAAAAAAAAAAGCCCCGCCGGTCTTAAAACGGTTTCTTCTACTTCCAGGTTCGATCTTCAAAACCCCATTTCCCAAATCCGTCCTTTTATTCACTCTGTTCATCAAAATTCACAATCTTGAATTCCTGTTCACCGAACTTAACATTTCAGGACAGCCGTTCTGAATCTGCTAAGATTTGCGTGGGAGGGATCGATTTGCATTTGTTTTGGATTTAATGGCCTTTTAACCAAGGAAAGGAGGAGGAAGAAGAAGAAGAAGCAATCTGATCTGCAATTTCAGGTTCTTCTTTCGGAATCCTGTCCTTGGAATTCATATCGTCTTGTACCTGTACAACCTCTGTTTTCTTGTAATGTCTAGCCACGGCCAAATTCACATGTTGTTTATCATTTCTGAAGCTGTGTTGTATCATCATCGTCCTGTTTGCCACATTGCCTGACATTTTGGAAATTCGACTGTTCCCCTGTGTTCTGTTTGTGTTCAACCTTTGTGATACCGCAGCCGCCAAAGATTCAAACTTTCCCTCTTATTTTATGTGGGTTTGATGCTTTTCCTCAAGTAGAGTAGGTGTCGTCAATAGAAATCTTAATTTTGGCTTGACCCAGATTGGGAGATTTGGTGAATAAATTAAGAGAGAGTAGGTGTTCCTAGATTCCGTAGCCAGACACCAGATTGGGGGGGACAAAGCTAGGGACTTTAGGGTTCAGTTTCTTCAGTTGTGTCGATTTCCCACCATGTAGGTGATGCAAGTTGTCTCTCCTCTGTTTCTTTTTTTTAACTGGATTTTCGAATCTATTTTTAAATTATTTTAACTGTCTCCATGATCCGAAGCTTCCTGTCTCGACAAGCAAAAAGGGGGAAATCGGAACAATCATTGGTCTTTGTTTTTGTTGTTAAACCACATCCTTTCATGGCCCCCCATGGCATATAGATGATGATGAAGTCAGTCATTTTCCATGAACAGTGGTGAGTAGAGGGTTGTTCCTTCACTGAAAATCCAATTGTAGAAGAAACTATTTGTTTTTCTCTCTTTTTAATTGTTTTTGTTCTTTTTTTGGAAGAAATGAAACACCTTTTTTAAGTGTGTTCATTTCGGGTTTCGTTTCGGATTCGATTCAATTATATTCCGATTCGATTATAGAAAAACTATAGATATTCGGTTTTTATATAAACTTTGGTTCGATTCGAATTCATTTTTTTTTTGTAAAAAAACTCATTTTTTTAAAACATTATCGGTTCTCTATTATTTTTTAACCGGTTTGATTTCGATTTTTCGGTTTAGAAAAATCATAACCGTTCGATTATTATATCAGATTCGATTCGGTTTGATGTGATTTGACTTTTCGGTTAATAATCAAAATGGTCATCTCTATTCTTCCCCACGAATCTCCAGCTAATGGTTGTGCAAATGAGAGAAGGTGAAAGATCCATCGCATCAAATGATATTAGAGGCGTAAAAATAATTTTAATATTTAAAATATAATAAAAAAATTAAAAATTTAAACAAAACAAATTAGTAGTAAAAATATTTTAAAATATATAAAAATAAAAAAAATATATATATATATTTCTGAACTCAAATATTTTGAATCCAACTCGAAAAAATATGGATTGATTCGTGAGCCAATCCGTAAGCCGCGGCTCGTTTTACACCCCTAAATGACATAAATTGTATTTTGTATTTAAATTGAATTTGATATAAAAAACAATTGGACATCATTTTTTAAACCATAAAAAAACCAAATATTAATCGAACATAAAAACATTTTTATCAACGAAAGTCAAATTGAAATAAATATAAAAATTGAGCAGTTATAATTTTTTTTAAGACAAAGGAAATTGGATCCAAAATAAACAGAAAGGAATATGGGTTTCTGAATCTGACCTTTTGCTATACAAAACACTTTACTTTACCATATAAAGATTGAGGTTTTTGGAGAAAGTTGAAAAGCTATTTGCTTTTATGTGAAGAAGCATCGTCAAAACGTGTGGGATTCACACCAAACAAAGAACCAAGAAAGAAAAAGCATATCATTTCCCATGGAAAAGATTGATATATATATATATATATAAATTAAATTATCAAAATACGATATTAATCAACTCATAGTTGCATTTATTTTTACATCAAATGTCAATTAAAAATTTATTTCATTGTGAATGAGATTATTTTTTTTACCATGTATAAAATATTGAGTTTGAAATGATATAAATATATATTGTTTCCATAACATAATTGGATCGTTAGCAACTTTGTGATGTTTAGAAACAAAATTTACAACCACATTATAAAAGTAAATACTTTATATATTACCTTCTTCAATGTGAAACATAGTGTTTCTTACATTTTGATTTCATATCATAGGCAAGCACCTGTTATGAACCGATCAAATTCAACATTTTTGGACTGTACTGCTTAATGGAACATCTTCTCATTATTATTTGATAATCAAAGAATTTAAATGTAGAATTTAATTTGTTTTTAATAAAATTCGGAAGTATATTAATTAAGAATACCATAGTTCTTTAACACAACAGGAAAACTCAAACCTTGTAAACTTTAACACCGTAGAAGAATTCAAACATTGTATCTATTTATAATATAAACCCATCTCAATAAGTTTGAGAAATTGAAAGAAGATGACCGAGAAAATGTTACATCATCATCATCATCATCATCATCATCATCATCATCATCATCATCATCATCATCATCATCATAAGGTGTCTAAGTTATGGAGAAAAACAAAATCAAAGACCGGGATATATAGTTTAGGCTTCTCTCTCTCTCTCGAGTCTTGGCATTGCAACCAAAGATGAAGATTGGAGTTTTTTTTTTAATCTTTCTTGATAAAACAATGGATTTCTTGGGTTTTTTCTGATCAAATTCGGTTCCTTTGGGGCATAATTGTAACATTGGTTAAGACTTTTTTGCCTTTGGGGGGCTTTTCTGATCGGATTTGTTTAGTGTGGGGACACAATTTTAACGTTGGTTGAAAAAATGGGTCGTTACAGAAATATAAAAATATCTGGTCCCGGCGGGGCTCGAACCCGCGACCTTCGGCTCATAAGACCAACGCTCTAACCAACTGAGCTACGGGACCTCGCACGGAACTGATTAAATATCTAAATGTTAGATTTCAGGTGCTTTCGATTCAAATTTTAAAGCTTTTCTTGAGTTCTGGAAACCGACGATACCCTTCAAAATCTCTACACCGAGAGAAAAAGAAACGTTCTTGATCCTCTCGGAGTGAAGAAACAGTTTGATCTTATTCAATCCCAAGGCTTCATTCAGAGTTCTGAGATTTGTTTTCGCTGATCAGAAGAAAAAGTTTCCAACTTTCTGCATTCCCCCCCCCCCCCCGCC